AACAAAGTTTGGACAAAAACAAGATAAAACTACAAGACAAGTTCATTGTGATGTCCTAATTCATACATATTTCCCATGAACTACATGCCTGTATGCCCAACAGCAGAGCCACTTCTTGGTCAGAGGTTTTCTGAGGTCAAGTTTGTTTTCTTCCCCAGCAGTAACAGGCAGTCAGTCTGCAACACTGAATCATAAATGAAAAATTAATAACTTTTTAATAACTTTTTTATCTAGCAATGCATAGCAACTTAATAAAACTATTTAATAAAAATGTCCAAATTTAATTTTCTATATGTGTGTGTGTGTCTGTGTGTAGAACAAGATTTAAAAAGCAAGAAAATGACAAGGAAAATATTTTAAAATATCAGTTTTTAATTATCTATTCTTTTGCCATTTAGCAAATGATTTAATCTCAGACTGTGAGAAAATAAACATTGTGTTGTTTTGCCAGAACTTCTTCACTGGGTTGGCAATGAATCCATAAATGTTTGTAACGTTTGTTTAAAAATTTTGATTTACTTTTAAAAAATAAATATAAACTAAAACCTAAAATTTCTGTAAACATTGTGACACATTAAATAATTATTTTTTAAAACGTACAACCCCAGCTTGCAATATTTTGACATGGTATTTGAAATTCTTTACATTTTTGCAACAAGCTTAAAATAATAAAAACATAAATAAAAAATACACTACTGGCTACAGTACAGTCTGCATTTTGTAAAAAATGTTTAAATTATGTTGTTACCACATAATGCTTGACAGGCCACATGTGTTTCCTATCTTGTTAACTTCCAAAGCCTACCTTAATCATTTTTATGATCATTCTGTGATTCTCATTAAAATTTTGTAATTGATTCAATACTCAGCACTGCCTGACCATAGCCCAACTTGTTAAATACTCCAGTTTAGTTTTGCATATACAAATAGTCCCACATACACAACATCTTCTTGTTTTACAAGTCTGGATATGCTCTCATCCTTTTGTTTTGAGAAGCCTGTGTGTCTCCTCTGAAGTACTTTGATAGAAACCAGGATGCTGTGGCATGTAAACGGAGCACCCGCAGCTCCAAACAGTCTCCATTGGCTAAAAAATCACAGTCTGAGAAGATATCAAAGAAGTTATTGGAGAAGATCGAGAATTTCATTAAAATCCTGAATATTTAAATAAATTAGAAACAAGGCCTGTCACTTTTAATGAGAACACCAAACTCCCGAGAAGGACGGAATCTGTAGTAAAACTCTCTTAGAGAGAATTGGGCAGAACTCTTCGTTTATTTTTTCTCATGTGAATATTTTGGCAATAATAGTCAAGAGACTTGTCAAATTAATTAAGGGAACTGATTATATCACTTCTATCAGGGCAGAAGTGTAGTAAATACATACAATAATATTTTTCTTTGAAGGATCTAAGACTGTAAGTACAATTTGGGATGTAATTCTCCAGTGCAGTAGAGGGCAGCACTGGGAATGTCTAGCGTTCAATTAGAGTTAAACTTAAAAATACAATAATAAACAGACGTGAAATACATTTCTTCATCAAATTTAGAGTGCTTAGTATCAAACTAGTCTAAAAATGGCAACATTGTGTTTTTGAATACTGTTGAGACAAACTGACAATGTCTGTGTATTTAAATTTAACATATTGTGGCAAGAAAGCATTACCCACTGCTAACTCTTCTTCTGCTGCTGCAATTAGTGACCTGTGGCTATAATATTTTCTCAACAGTAAGACATTCTGCTTAGGAAGTGGGGAAGCATAGGTTGTAAATTCCTTGCACTTGCTACAAATACATAATTACATTCTGAAAATAATTTGCCTTATATTTAAAAGTGTACTTAATGACAGAATATGGACCATATAGATCAAAACATCATGTTTAGCTTTTCAACTTTATTCAACAGTGGAGCCACAAATAAAGATTAAACTGAAGAAGCAAGTAATGCAAATTAGAAACCAAAACAACTTCAAAATCAGCTGGAGATAAAAAAGGCAAACACATGAAGAAAAAAAAGCGAAACTGAATATGTATTACAAAAAAATCTGATTCATGGAGATTAATGCACATGTTTAAAAACACCTGAAACTCTTAACAGCCTGCTGTAACTCCTGCTCAGACTTGATGTGACAAATATGACATTATTGTCATAAACTCATGAGTTAATGTTTTGTTTTTTTGTCACTGTGCTGTGAGGTTGTGAACTTTTATTGAGTCCTTATCTGTTCATTCACTGCTTAGATCACTGTTCCATGATGCAACTTCAGAGAAATTGATGTGCGTTACATCATTAATCAAATAAAGTAACAAATCAATGAGAAAGTCTTGACATGCCCTAGATTACATGGAGTACTTTATCATCTCACTTATCTAAGTAGACTATACTATACATATCCCTGAATTTTATCAATGAAGTTTTAACAGTATCAAGAAATGATACATGCCAACCTTTGTTCAACCTCTTAACAAAACCTGAAACTTGCATCAAAAATATCAGATACTATGACTGTGGTCATGTTGTTACGTTGTTAAGGCAAACTTTCCGCTTAAGTCTGTGTGCATGCATGTGAAAACATTTTTCCACTTAATTGTTGGAAAAAACACCATAGCATAAAGAGATGTCTCACAGAAGAGACACTTCTTTCAGCTTCATTTCAGCTTTGAAATAAAACTTTTGAAAATTAGCTCTGTATAGTAGAAGTTGGGTCTATTTTCTTCTCAGCCTCCAATACATATTCTTTTACATTTTTATTTCAAAGTTCTGTACACTACAATAATTGAATTTGTCTGATAGGGTGTGGGAGAAAGCAGACTGTTCTGCTATTCTGCTCATCATACAACAAAATTACTTTAGCTGGGCTAAGTTAGGGTAACTCTTGAGTAATGCTTAAGAGTGATGAGTGGCCCTCATGCGTCATGGCTGTTTTGGGTTTGTCACAACCAGACATATTTCCAAACAGCAGAATTTGCCAGACTCCTCCTGTTTTTTGCTTTTTGCTCTGTATCATATCCCTTTATAAAGTCATTCTACAATCCTTACTTCCCTTACAGTTTATATTGGTTACAGGTTAAAAGCATAATATTGGTGGGATGACTAACTCCCATTCTATGTCAGTGCTTTGTAGTTTATGGTGAGGAATAAAAAACAAATCATGATCACAGAACACAAAATATTAATCTATAAACAACTTTAAATATCTCAGCAAATCTAATTCTTATGTACATAATATGAGCTTGATGACGCGCAAGTTTCGTCTACTGAGAAGTTGAGGATTAAAAGATAACAATTATGACATTACTCAGTGAAAATGCTTCCACACTCCAGACGGTGACATGTTAGATCTGTAAATCATGTTGATACTCACATCACTTGTATAATTTTTTGAAAAGACAGTTTAACTTCACAAATTTTAACCTGGACCACTTTGTGTGGACCACTTTGCAAAACTGAAGTGAAAAAAATTGCAGACAATAGAAATTTAAATTGACAAAGCATTCATTTGATTCATTCTTTCATAATACATCTGGTTTTTGTGGACTGTTTTGTTCAGCTTCTTCTGTGACTGGTCCTCCAATAGTATTTAATCTTTTTCAGCATGAGCATTCATATATCAAGGTGGTAATTCTGGACTGCCTTAAATTGATAATCAGCTTCTTGTTACTACTTAACCTGATATTGAAGATTACACTTGAGCTCAGCAGGACCATTTAAGAACACATGACTAGGTTTAACTGGATTACAGTGGACCAGGGGGGGTTTACGGTGGTTGAGAACATCTATCGCCTGCTAATAGCTGAAATCCACCAATAACTGAGACCTCCTCTAAAAACACTAGTTCTACCTGCCTATTTTACTGGTTCAAACACCAAATTTACTTTAATATGCATTTACATAAGGTGAAAACCACCTTAATGCCAATGAAGAAGCTACTGACTATCTTATATCCACCATTCGGGGTACAGCAAACTAGTTGGTGGCAAGAAAACGAATGGTACATCAGAGTGTGCTGCCAATAGTTTGCCATGTAGCATTACACATAGGTATTTGAGGTTTGCACGTTGCATTTTCTTTCAAATATTGTCACCATTCTAAAATAATGGACTGTCATTTTACTGAAGAAATTTTTTCAGACCTAAATTATCTTTTGGCAAAAAAAAAAAAAAAAAAAAACAAGTGGTGATTATTTTTCCAAAACAATTTTGAGCAGAAAATTATTTTGGAAGTGAACATCTTGGTAACACTTTATATGATGGGTTGTGAATAAGACTGTCATGACTGTTGTCAAAGTGATATTTGGTAAATCATGACACTTTTAATGCAAAGATGACATTATTCTAAATGTCTTCGTTATGATAACTTGACATTAACCAAGAAATCATAAAAAATTATGTAGCTTTATTTTATTAAAGCTAAAGTTTAATCAGTAATACTTTTGTACCAAATTTATGTCACATTCTTAATGTCAACTTTGTATTAAAAGTATCTTGATTTACCAAATGACACTTAATGACAACAGTCATAAATATTCATTTATTCACAAACTGTCAAATAAAGTGTTACCAATGCTAATAATGAATCGAAATAAATCAGGTCAGACCGAAGATTAAACAAGCAATTGGCATTCGCTGGTCTCCATGTCTGGGCAACAAGTTGACCTCAAAGATTGTCTGGATCTCCATCGTTAGGGTCAAGAGTTTTGATTTCTTTCCTCCTAGAGTGCTCTCACACATCTGTACTTTTTTTTTAGGTTTCTTCATAAACACAAAGCCTACAATGGAAATTATAGAGTCCTATAATTTCCATCAGTTCTTTGGCCTCCTACACATAACGGTGAAAACTAACTGAGATTATTTTCACACACAGGGTGTGTTTCTGATGACCTAATTACTGGTGTGTGGTTAAGGAAACACCTTGTACGCCACATGCACAGTTACCCCAACAGGAAAGCTGTAACTTCAGCACCAGAACGCAACGCAGACCGCCCCAACTTCAAAGATTACCTTAATAATGCTGCTCCGGCGAGGTATGTCAGATTTGGCATCCGGCCCCACGGAGGTGTTGGCGCTTTCACCTCCGGTTTGGCTGCCAGGTGTGAGCGGGGAGCCTGAGCACATCATATTCTCCGATATCCCACAGTCTCCATTCAGAACCGACACTTCGCAATGCGTCTTCCCCGCATCCTGGTCGCTGGGCACGGCCGTGTGCCCGAACTGGACCGGAGGGAGCCTCCCGTCCTCCCCTAACTCCGCCATAGGCACTTACGATCTCACACTCTCCACAGCACTCAAAAACAAAGCTTTCGGCTGCGCTCTGACGTCCCTCCCTGTCGTTTATTGTTATTACTACTGTTATTGTAATTATTGCCTCGGTGTAACATGTGCCGTCTCATGTCTCGGTGCTCATATCCGCCAGGTTCCTCCGGAATGAGAGGCTTCCTCCGTCCACCGAGCTCCGTTTGTGAATTACAGACAGGATTTATGTTGACAGCATGAGGAGAAACCTGAAAAGAAAACACATTTCGTGAGCACTGAAAGCGGATGTTCTCAACGTACAGCATGCACCAGTCGTCTTTCATGTGAACGAGGGGAGGGAAGGGGGTTAATGCATGATGATGCCGTTCACACCTATTTATTTAAATAAAAGAGCCTTTCTGCAGATAAAATAGCCTCCTCACAAATCTCATAATGAGCTAGAAATGTCCCCGGGGTCCGCGTCTTACCTTTAGAGCTGCTCGGTCTCTCCATAGTCGCAGCCCGTGTTTCAGCTGAAGTTGTTGCCCCAGCAGCCTGAGGAGCAGACTGTCGTTTGTTTTCTGTCAGCGCAGCTAGTTAGCAGGCTAACAAAGCTCGCTCACTCACTCGCTAGCACAGGGAAGTTAGTTTGCCTGAAGTCCAACCGGCAGAACTAAATAGTACCAACCTGGCTCCGTCGGCGGCTTGTTGTGGCCCGCACCCATTTTGGCGCAGTTTTGAAAGAGATAAAGAGCCCCGTTAAATCTGTAATCGTCAGTCACTGAACGAGGGAACAAAGTTGTGTATGTCTCGTGAACGCGCACCAGGTTTGTTGTCACTCTACCGAATTATCCTGAACACCTGCACCTTTTTCTGGGACTTTCAGAGCAAACACACGTCAGTACATTAGAATAACATGGAAAAGATAAAAAGTGAAACTCGTGGATTTATTACAGAATGGGTGAGTTTAACCAGATATTGAACAAACAACTTGTTCCCATATGAAATGTCATCTTCATTTGTCTATGCATGTGCAAGAATAAAAAGCATAAGAAAAGCAAAAGTTATGATGAAGATCCTGGGGCTCAAAGGTCACTCAGTGAGGAAGAATCCATTACCTCTAAAACATTAAATAGTAAAATAGAACCAGATTTTTCCAAATACAATGACACAGAGAGTCTTTAATTACAGGTGATATGTTCTGTCTAATAACAACCAATGTGTTATAGTCTTAAGAAAAAAGAACTAAGCATTGAGAAAATGGGCAAAATAATTATTGTAAGACGTGTGCCAAGTCATGCAACTTAAAAGGTGATTCCATCTGATATTAAGAAAATTTGTCTACATGTACAATTTGTGTAAAATTTGTGTACATTCCTGAATATGAAAACGTTTTATCACTGCTTAGCAAGTATAAATATTATAATATTCTTAGCTGACTTAAATCAGGAAAATAGTTTTGCTTCATTTAATGGCAGATAGTGAAAACATTTTTGGCTTTTTTAGTGTTGCAAAAATATCCGACATCAGTTATATTCTATATCTGTATTTTTCATGTTTAATAATGAGAATTGCATTTAGTTTGGAATTGAAAGTTACTCTCCTGTCAATATTCATCTTTTGAGCCACTAACCAACCTTGATCTTAATTTATCCTAGCAAAAATATTTTGAAAGTTTTACTTTGTAGCCCATTTGTTTCAACCAAATTCATGTAAAGATGTTGAAAATCAGGTTTGTGTGATTAAACTCAACTGCATTTTTACAATACTGGATCTTATTCTCCAGCTTTCGCTTTTCAACCAAAGTGTTACGCTACTTGCCATTTTAAAAAAAAAAAATCTACTCATTGAAACATTTTGTTTTGTGATATTTTACATGTCAGTTAATTGCTTATGGCTTGCATAATCTTAAGCAATTAACGGTTTGAAATCCCTTTGTGTAAAATGAATCTGAATAATATAATTTTTACATTTTAAATTGAAGCAGGCTTAACAAGAATCTTTTGTTTTCTGTTGTAGAGGTCAGAAGTTTCCAGTAGCTCTTGCCCAGATTTACTCTCTCTGCAGCAGGGATTTTGGCCCACTCCATACAGTTCTCCAGATCTCTCAGGTTTTTGGGCAACACAGAGCTTCAGTTACCTCCAGAATATTTCCTATTTGGTTCTTATCCCAAGACCTTGAATGGTTCTCACTGAGCCAAAAAGTAGTTGGCTGTTAACCAAGCTTGTCTATTATTCTGCAGCCTAACTTTTTGGTCTTTCCCAGCCCATCGATATCACCCAAATTCCCTCTCATGTTGGAGACTGATTGATGCTAAATAGGTATATCTTATTGTAAAACAAGTACAGTTAATTCAGTTATGGAGCTAAGGACAGGAGGCGTTCTTAAAGACAAACTTAGTATTGCAGTTTTGCAGAATTTGTGCAGTTTGGAAGGAGATCAAATACAATTTTCATGCAATAAAATGAAAATGCAACATAAACTCTTGAAAAGGTAATTTTTTCTAAGAAACTTTTATCCAAAGTTTGCACATCTTGTTTCCGAAATGTAAACTCCTCTATTTAGAAAGAAAACTAAATCCGTTATTACTTTCTATTTCAAAGTGAGACTGTTAAACATATTCAAATGTTGACTGTTTTATTGAAAGCTACATGTGATGAATTCTAATGAAGTAATTTCAAAGGCTTTGCTCATGATACTTGTTTGTCTGTCACATCGTGTGCTTTGGTGATCTTCCTCTTTGTGTAGGCAGTAAATACAGAAAAAAATGTGCTAATCTCAGAGGTGAAGTAATTACTTTAACTGTCTCTTTTGCTGTTGTGTCAAGTTTCCTTTGGAAAATAAGAACACATCCTGAGCAAAAGGAAATTGAGAGCAATAGTGATAGGTGGGTCAATTGAACGGTAGTTCATGTATAAAAGTAAATGTAATCAAAATTTTGGATACTGTATCCTAGAAAACGCAGTGTGTGAGTAAAAAAGCCTAAACGTATTTGACACTTGTTATGAAAGCAGATATGCATGCTGTTGGGGATATCAATGACGAAAATGAGTTGTGGAACAGAGCCACCTGCTGGTCAATATGGACAGTGTTCAAAATGATGATTTTTTTATGATTACAGTTAATAGAGGTATAGTTTCAAAATGATTAATCATATTGAGGATTTCCTTTTTTATGTGCAGTCTCTTTATAATATGTCTTTAGCCTCTTTTTTACTCTGAGCATTTCAAGTTGTCTATTTTCATAACAGAAAATCACTTTATTTTTGTTAAAGCAGAAATATTTCTGCTTTAATACCAATAACAGGAAAAAGGATTTGCAACAGCATGATGCCTCCAATGGCTACACTTATCAGCACTGCTGCTATAATTACTTTACAGATCCTTCTTTTTTCAATTGAACAGCTCAAAGTTTTCTCTTTTAGCATTTAATAGTTTCTGGTAGCACACAGAGATGCAGGAGTCCAAAGTTTTTGTGCAGACCTGCAATTAAAGAATCGTAGCAATCTGGTTGGTAACACAGACTGTTCATGAAGGTTGACACCATAAGAAACTGCAAAAATACTGAAACTACAATTATCAAACAAGATGCAGACAAATTAAATTTTAAATTAACACACAGTATTTGTTTTTTTACTCTATTTATAATGTAGTTCACTCACAAGAAGAGTTGGATCTACCAGTTTTTCATTTTGGCTAAATAAAGCAAACCCTTTCAAAGAAATGGCGACTCATTTCCTATTCCATTTTTAGTTTTCAGTAAAAGATTTTGAGATTTCTATGAAATTCTTTTGGATTTCAATTGTTGCAGAATATCACAAACTAACAATTATTCCCATAGATTTTGGAAGAGAGAGTCCCACATTTTAATAGATCCTCTACCGTACCGAACATTAGGCATTAAATTCTTTGCTACACACTGATCCTTTCTTTTACAAAAATCATAGCTGGATGTTTTGTTGCTCAAAACCTCTTTTTGGTCTCGTTGGACCTTAGCTGACAGTACAAGTAAAAAAAAATAAAATAATTAAAAAATATATATATATCTATATATAATGGACATGAAAGTTGGGTCCAATAGTTTTCTTTGTGACATAAAAATAGACAACTTTAGATGGGTATTGGCCACTTCACCTCTTCCAATTCCTTCCCTTTGCCCATTTTTTAGGAACAAATTGTAAAAATCTCATTGAAGGGATACCTTAGCTCAATGTCGGTGTCCCTATGTACTCCCTAATGCAGTTATAACTAGACAATGCTGAAGATGGCACACTGTGGCTGACGGAAATACGATGTTGGCATTAACAAAACGATTCCCAAATAGCAATTGGTTAGAAATTTAGCTTACAGTTGCTGAGCAAGTCATGGATGAAAGGTATTTCATGTCCTGACAGGTCTTCTGTTTTTTTAAAGACTTGACTGTTATCGTCCACTGCAGAGTCATCAACGTATTTTACTGATATCTATTCTGTGAAGGAAACTAAAGGAGCAGTTGGTTGGAAGTGGTGCTTTGATATTCCAATTATTCTGGTTTCTTTTAAAATTACTTCCGTTGCACAGCTAATACAGCAACTGTTATTATATATATGTATATATTAAGTCTAGATGTTCAATTGAGGGGTTAATAATGACAGAACAGCAGGTCAGTGTTAGACAGAATAACTTATGATTGAACTGAAAGTGCTGCAAAGGCATCTGGAGTCAAAGTCAAACAAACCCTAAACAAACTGAGAGAGGACAAACGAAATGGAAAATATGAAGGAAATAATATATTGAGAAAAAACAAAAAGGAGTGTGTTTCCTGGAAAAGCTGACATGTTTTGGCTGCAGGTGATCTAACAAGGAACATAGCAGAAAGAAAATCGGAAAGCCTGAGGGTGGGGAAATCCAAGAGAGAAACTGATTTTAGAACCAAGAACAACAAACAAAATAAAATCTCCCCAAAAATAGTCCTAATAATAGAAACATAAAACCCCCTAAAATCTTTGTTTTCTAAAATGTTTTAAAAACTCCAGAGATTTTTATACTACAATATGACTATACAGTTGCATAATCTTTCACTTCATCAAGTGCCATGTGCCACATTAGCAAATTTCTATGTTAAACTGAGTTATCTTTTTTTTAATAGAACCATTCAATGAAGACAAGCTACACCCAAAAATATTCCAATTATAAACTATTGGCTTTATTGTACTTTGCAGATGCCAGCATTATATTAAGTACAGATAAAGAACACCTGAAATTTAAATATTCTTGCTGTTCAGTCTAATATATTGGAACAATCTCAGTGGTACATTTGCAAGAAGCAGGACACCAGGCAAACACCAGCGGGTTGCTGCATCCATTGAGGACTTTCAGTCTGGGACAGTTGATGAAGGTATTTATATAAGGACATGGATTGGCTGAGAAAGAGAGGGAAGAAATTAGGATGTATTTTAAATATTAATGGCACATTTCTGTAGGTTTGTTACTCTACTTACTGCAGAGTTTGTCCACACAGTTGTTTGGGCAGGAAGCACATGAGGTTCCAACCTTGTAGGGAGGCCATCTCTTAAAGTTTCCACTAAAGGACAAATTTTTTTTAGATTTTGTAAAGCAGAAAATAATATTCCTACTTAAAAATTTATAAAGTTTTCCCTCAATATTTTTTTTCTATATTATATGAGGATTTTGTTCTTATTTCTTGGTCTACATTATTAATAAAACACACTCCCTACTACAAATACCTAAATAACCGCATTGGACTATGTTTATGACTTTTTTTTTTGCACATTTTGCTTTGTTTATGTGATTGTTCCTCAAATCTCAATGCCTGTATTATTTAAAATCCTCAACATGATCCATTATAAGAAAGTGGAAAGTGTTTTAAAAAATAAAGAAAACTTTTGCAACTTTCACAAAGGTTGGAAAAAATCACCCTTCAGAAATTGTCATTTTAAATGAATCCACCTGTGCTAAACTTACACATTCACTAGAGCGTGTTTCAGTAAAAAGTATGTAGATGCTGATAAGAAATGTCTTTTTCATACATTTGCAAAACCGTGTCTGCATGTTGTATTGTTTGTTGAATTCTGAAAAATTAAATAAATCCACTAATGTAACAAGATATGACAAAGTGAATGGCTTACAGACACAGTGTAAAATAAAGTGAAATCTTTCCTAAATTACTTGTAAAAATGTCACATACGCTCTGAAATAATGGCAGCCATAGAAGTAGATGTTGTTGGGACATAGAGCAAGTCCACAGCCCACTTTGTAGGAGCTGTTCCACACAACCTGGCAACACAATAATTGCTGGTTATTTTTGGGATGGTTTCATTTTCAAACATTCCTTGTAAGTACACTCTGCAACCACCGCTTGACCAGAGCAGCAGAGCAGTAAAAGCGAAGTGTTTTTCATTAAAAAATAACACGGGGTGATAAAAATGTGCACCTGTGTGTAGTGACCGATGGGTTGTCCGTTGGTGGATCCATTGGGGTAAAGATAGTGTGACTTCTCTTTATGCCAGGTCGTAATAACAGTGGTCCATGAGGATGGGGAGGAAGAATAGAAGAGATTCTCACCTAATTCATATCCTGGGTAATGGAGGGAAACACATGGCAGCACTGATTAATGAGTATTTGCAGATAATTTTATTTTTTATCCCCCACGAGATTACACTATTTGTATAAAGCAGGCTTCATTAAAAAAAAAAAGACAAAAAAACAATTCTCCTTCTTGATAACATCTCACCTAGTACAATCTATTATTAAAAGAAGACATAAGATAACATACACAGTATCTTTGACCATCTACCACAAGGGCATTATTACATTAATGGAGGAAATATTTACAGCCCCAAAATGATGAAAGAGGAACGAAAGAGAGAATATATGGAGGCACAACAAACGTACCATCAAGCAGACGAGTGCTGACTGGTCCATGACTGAGAGCACATTTATCCACCCAAGCCTGAGCGCTGGCTGCTAACTCCAAACTGTAAGTCTGAGGGAAAAAATGAAATGTTTAATTCTCGTTTCAAAGAACAGGACAAGTTCAACTAAGAAAAATGTTGCATTGCATAATTAACTAAGATAATCATCATACTAAGCTCCAAAATATTATGTGTTGCTTCCTGCGTAGAGCTGTACTTCTTTCCTAGAAAATAATAATTCTCCATTGGATTTTGAATTCATATGACTTGCTTGTGTTAGGCTTTATTCAAATAAAAGTTCTAGTAAAATAAGAAGTCCAAAAACAAAAAGTCTATTTTTAAATAATAAGACAATTATGCAAACCAACATAAAAATATAATTTCCCGTTGAATCTTGTAATTTTTACAAGTAATTTTGGAAAGATTTCACTTTATTTTACACTGCGTCTGTTTTTGCAGTAATTTATGAGTCTCTTAAATTGCATTTAAGCATACAATTTTGGGTAACTGTGTTTGGTAAATAATAAGAGGAATTTTGAGCCAATGTAAAAGCATGTTTAAGACTAAGACAAAACATTGTAATTGCATTTTACATCAGACTTTGACCTGTCATTTGACTATATCACTGGTTGTGCATATGAAAGCATGACGAGTTGTGCCTTCAGCCTAAGGAAATGCAATCCTTGAAGAAGAAGATTCTATTTCCTTATCACTATATTTTAATTAATATTTTATTCCAAACTTAGCACAGTACATAGGGAATATATTGGCATAAAGTGACAGCTAAATCCATCGGTTTTTGCTAAAAGGGATTAATTTTTTACAAAAACATCTTTTTCAAAGAAATCAGAAATACTGATAATTTGATTTTCTTTCTTTTTTTGTTTATCAAACAGGGACATCAGTTGGGCATAAGAGAACCACAACCACAACATCTCTGCATCTTCTCCTTATGCTGGTCATCAGGTTGGTCACACACTACTGTGGGATGGCATCTCACTTCTCAATCAGTTTTTGTCACAAGTCACAACTCAAGTTATCACACAAATGGTTTTCACGTTATAAATTAAACAATCTGCCAGTCAAACTAATATGATTTCTTCAATATTGAGGAATTGTTTACTTAAAACGAGCTTCTCTATCTTGCCAAAAAGTTACCTCCAAAAACAATTTGTGTTACATGGCTGAATGATAGTGCATAGAAAAGTGGAGCTAAAGAAGGACTTTCAGGAAGATTAAAAAAACTGAGCTGAGATTAAAAAAAAAAAAAAAACATCAGTCAGGAGATGGATAGGAAACCTATACTGAATGCATGAGGGAATGAGGAAAAGAAATCTGGCTAGTTTGTGTGAAGCTGAAAGAATGGCCCTGTCTAAATTTGAAAACCACTAATTGAGCTTGTACATATTATCTAAAGAAAATATGTTTGGACATCAGGAGCTTGTTTTTTGTGCATCTTGATAGTTTCACACCTCCAATCTCGGATCTGTTGCATCTGCTGGGGAGAGTTTGCAGGTTTTCAAATATATTTTGACACATCTAGCACAACTGTACTGACAAAATATCTTGATTGTCAAGACATCATCTGGACTTGTAGTTGGTGATTAAAAACTTTATTATTTGTCCAACTTTTAGCAATAACCCAATGACAATCTTTTGTTTGTTACTTTGTTGTTTATTACTATTTATTATTATTGCTTAGTTGTAGAAAATCAACTAATATCAACTGATATATAAATGCAATGTTAAAAAGGACGTTGAAAAAGGACCGACCATCATCAGCATGTCGGCAGCAGCAGGCTCAACTGCTCTCCTGAAGGCGTTGTGAACATTTACGATCTCGGACTGCACGGTTGTGTTCTCCGGCAAACATCTGTACACACATACACACACACACACATTAGAAAGCGATGTGTAAACAGCAGATTAAAGACACAATGCGCACTGACATTTACTCTGGCGGCTTAAGAGATGACTCACAAACACATCCTGGTTTAATTGCTCTGAAATGGCTCGACGTAACAAAGGAGCACAGACACAAGACTGAGCTAAATCCGCTAATCTGACTGTGAGCCGTGCTGGCAAGGTTTCAGCTGATGCCGAAAATAAAACGGTGCTGCTAAACACGCCTGCTGGATTTAACAGGGCGCTTACCTTGCTGTGAACACAGGATGATGTGAAGCCAAGTGCATGAGGGAACGAGGAAAAGAAATCAGGTTAGTTTATGTGAAACAAACGTGTGAGTAAGCAGCTCATTTAACTGTTTGGTTTTCAATAATTTACAAATTAACACCATGAATCTGTTAATTGGTTCTTGAAAACACCTGAATTCCTGGTGAGATTTTAGTGCTTGTTTATCTTCTTAATTCTATGACAAATGACTAAAGTCAACACAACCTTTTTATTGTCCCTGCTTGTTTTTGCTTGATTCTCATCTCCCTTCAGATTTCTCCCATTGAGCTGGATTTCTCCAGTTATTTCAACTGGGCCAAACAGAAGGAGGAGTTGTGAACAATTGATATATAAATGCATTTTTTTTATGTATTTATTGAGGGCATTTAGCTGCTCTGTAGAAGACCATGTCAGGATTGGTTGTCAAAGTGGAAGAAGCAAAATGGCCATAACACATAAGATATTTCATTGGGGAAACAAAGATAAAGATAGTTAAACTTTGCTAAACCTGTTCAGTTAATCCAGCCATACAGATTTTAAACCCATTCTTTTGCAGTGTAGCATGGTAAGTTATTGAGGCCATTATGGGTTAAAAAAGAAGAAAATTATCAAAATTAGATTGATCTGAAACATTGATGTGTGGTGAGAAAAAAAAAAAAAAACTCCAGGAAAAATCACTTATGGTGCGGTTAGTTTTTTTCAGCAATATGGAAAAAAAGAAACAGGCTAACTTAAAATGTATGCACTTATTAAACTTCTTCACACAGATTTGAGTTCAATGCATGCTTTGATTATCTGAAGCTTCTGGGAAAAAGAGAAGAAAAAAAGCACAAAAAGGTGACAAACTCAGCAAAATTCAAAATAGAATTTAGATCTGTTTTGAAGTGATAGAGTTTAAGATTAAAGTAGGGAATGATTTCCAATCATTTTTGCATTTAACAGGCTGGAATAAATCAAGGTGTTAGAGTTACACTCACCACAACACAAGCAGTGTGCACATCTTGGAGTGTCAAGATGCAAATCAAGATGACAAACATCTTCCCGACAACAAAGAAGATTCCTCTACAAAAGAAGTGCAACACTGTAATCTTTGCACAGCCTCTTGACTCTTCCATGTTTGAAGAACAAATATTACTTTTGTCATTCCTAAATTAGTTACTTTCTTTTTCCGCGTGATTTATTGAAGCTTATTTTAATTAAGCTCAACGACAACTGCAAAAATAACAACAGCAAGAATGTACGTACATTTTTAAGTTAAAGTGAAACCCGTATGAGGTTTGCCTTCTTGAGTGATGGGTGTTCTTCTTAGATAAATCTATTTGTGGCATCAGTTACTTAAGGAAACTTCTGAACTGGCGTACCTGCTCTCCGGTCTTCTTCTTCTGGAGATGGTGAGTTAAATATTTTCTTCTCCTCCTTTTATAGAGCCAACTCAGGTGGTCACATTCTCCTCCAGGTGATAATTATGCAGCATGAACCATGTGGTTTACACAATGAACTCTGAACAGAAAAACAAATCCATCACCTTGTCCTAAAGACGCTTTTTCTTCTGCAACTGACAGGGAGTCCACAATGAACTGTTAAGCCCAGGGGTTTAGTGAATCCCTGATATATTAACCCATATTTACAGAGTAGAGAATGGAAACATTGAGTTTAAGGTAAATAAAGGTAAAGGCCAACTGGTAGGGTACATTAAACTAAATGTCATGTATGTAGATGGATACAGATTGTGTAGGCTGAAGACACACCCTGTCATTTTTTTTAGTGCAGGATGAAGAAAAGGTGATTGTGGGTAGCAGAGTACCTGTGCAATCTAAAGTTTAGACATTTTGTGATGTGCTTTATTAATGCAAAGATTTCATTAATTAAAGGTGTCAGCATTTTCAGTGAAAGGTAATTCTCTCACATGCTGGGTGCAACATTCTGGACCAAAACAAACTGACGTTGATTCTTTTTTGTGTTAAGATTCTCCGCTTGTTGTTTGAGGACTGATCACGTGTTGCTGAACAGGAGCACGCTTTCTTGGATAAGAGACAACGATTGTATCAGGATGTTTACCTTTTGGCACCACCTAGGGTTCATGCTACAATTCATCTTTTCTTCTGCTGTGAACAAAGGCTTTTCCAGAAATGCTATACAATCAGACGGGATTTTATAAAACGTTATTTTGCACCTGTTTTCTTCTCGCCATACTTATTGGGTTTTTTTGTAGAATTTTACAATGTTCTTTGTCTCTATGAGCTTTGTTGTTGTTTTGGAAGGATTTGGCTCTTAGGATGCTTTTCTTGGCAGAAGTTTTTCTTCACCTCACAACCAAACTCTGCACTGGTGAGAATGAGACTCCCGCTGCTGCTGTTTGCTTTCATGCTGCACTGTGTCAAACGAACCAATCTCTGAAAAACCTGTTCCCCTCCTTGTCTGTGGTGGGGATGGAGGAGCGTCAGACTTTATGGCTGTAGTATTTCTCTTTTGTCTTTGGTAAAATACAATGAGCCATTTCTCCCCCTTGCCCTAGACTCTCGCATTTGTTTTGGTAGTATTTTCCCAGAATGCCATGCGCTATAGATTGCTTCCTGGTTTTGGAGCGGTCTCCGGTCTGTGTGGATTCGAACCGCTGCAGAGTTCACTTCCAAGACCTTAGTTTTTAGGCGGACCAGAATTAGATTTTTTTGGCCCACGTCAGAGTTTGATTACATTATACCTTTCCAGACAGATCAGACTTTCTAGGCAAACAACTAGAGTTTGATTATAATGGTCTAAACATTGCTTTTGTGAATGTATCCTACAGTTGATCATATCCATGACTGTGCAATTTGTACAGCTGATTCTTATGTTTGTCTTCAAATCTTGCAGCTGGTCCTGGAAAACAAACAGGGCTTTCTCTGTCTTTGCTCTCTTTTGGAATAACTTTCCACTTCATGCCAGAAAAGCCGATTCACTGTTCACTTTCAGAGTTTGCCTTAAAACATCTTTTTTTCATGGCTTTTGGCCCAACTGAGAGTTTTTAGTTTTGAATTGCATGCAGCTGTACTCAAAGGACTCTCTTCTGTCTTTGTGAACAGCACTGTGATTGTTTAAAAATGGTCTCTCTTTATGAATACTAATGGACTGGAATGAAATATTTTCCAAAAGAAATACTTGTGTGTTTTCTCATATGTCAAGAAGAACCAAATGTCCTTTATATATTAAAGGACAATTCAAGATGTATACACTTGTTTTGCACCATCTTAAAACAGGAGTAACAAGTATTTGATTTGCTTAATTACTATACTCTAACAGCTGCAAGATCTCAGCTCAACATCTGTGTGAAGTTAGCAGAGGTTTCCTATATCTGTGAGTTTCTTCAGGTTTTCTCTCAGTCGAAACTCAAAGATTTTAATCCGGTAAAGTGAAACCTTACCAAACTGTGTTTATTTTAGACTTAGCAGTATCTTTCGTGGTCAGCTTGAGTTCTCAGTCCTGGAAAAGACATACAAATAAGAATAGCACATATTTTAGCAAAGTAGGGCTAAACTGAATTTAAAATTTATTTACTTCTTTGATGATCATTTGGAGCTCATGACAGCTCAGTTACAGTTTCTCACTGCATTAAATCATAAATACAAAGTTCAGTTAGTTTACCCTCTGCTGTCAGTGGTAATAAATGTTAAGTGCAATGATGCATGTCATGGGTGTAGCTCTTTATGTACTATTGGCTTTGCATACATTCACGCTATACAAAAAGTATTTTCCATGAAGTCAAACAGAGTAAAAGGAAAGTTGTTTTCATAATGAATGGCTTGATCAGGACAAATATTGTATATATTTGCTGAGGCAAGAAGGGAATTGTTCAATATAATTATTAGAGAAAATAACTATCTCTAATAATAATAATTATTACAATAACTAGATTTTCAGTGTTACAACTTTGTCAAAATCAAAGATTATTTTTAATTGGAGAAGATTTTCCGTTTTATTTTATTTGTACACTAGGGGGCACTGTGTCATCTTCTATGACAAGAGATTTTGAGATCTAGCAGCAGAACAAGGTCTGACACCTTAAATAATATCCAGTCATCTCATTTAAGAACTTTAATAACATTTCTCTAAAATTAGAAGTTAGTGATGTGTTTTATTCCACTACTTCTCCCATCTAATCAGCTGTCTGTCTCAGACGCTCGGATCAGACTGCTGCTTCCACAAAACACAGTCTGCATAAATGTCACGCTCGGCTGCTCGTCTTCATAACTGGTTTCACTCCATTTGTCACATTTCAGTTCTCCAGTAGATAAAAACCCCACCTGCTACCATGACCTGCGGGGCCACATGAAGCTGAAAGGTCAAGTTTTTTTATGCCTTTATAGCCTGTTAATGCACATAATATGGACCAATAAAGCCTCTAAAGAGAAAGAGCTGTCAATGACATCAAGCATTATTGTTTTATCCCCAGGTAAATAGTGTTGACAGTTGCACAATGGGAGATCATCACTGGCTTTTAAATCTGTGCCAATATCCCTCACCATTTTATCATCTGTTAATTTATTTCCCTTTTTATACGGTTGGAAAACAACATTAACTGCTTAATTTCAGCTTCTGGTCTCTCAGTGGTTTATGATTTGCCAAAGTGGCCCTTTGAACCTTTTATCTTTGGTGGGGAAGAAATGCCCTTCCAAAATTGGCCTCACTTTGTCCAAACCGAACAGAAATCTTCTGGCAGTTTCTGCTCACAGGGCCGGTGATTAAAGCCTAATGGGGGCTCCTGATGTGATAGCAAACAGAGACAGGAAATGTCCATCTGTAAAAGAGACATATCATTAATTTTGAAGCCTGCAGAAAGGCTCTTATAGCAACATCTGAGCAGGACACTGATGGCTTACTGGGGAACGGTGGACCAGAATCCCTATTAGACCAGAAATGTCTCAAAAGGAGCCCTGAGTCATGGCTACATTAGAGGGGTCTGGTAGGCCTAATTATGTTCAGCTTTTTTATCAGTAATAATGACATCTCTTAAAGAAAGCAAGTAGTATTGGGTTTTCTTTTCTCACTTGCTTGCATAACAAAAGAATGATATGGAGCTATAGTTTATTATCACTGACTAAAATCTGAATAAAAATGAAAGGGTGAGTTAATTTTGCTGCCTTTTCCTTTCTTTGTTTTTGTTTTTTTGGTCCCGTTTTCCTTCTAAAGAGGACATGTTATGGAAAATTCATATTTAGCATATTTTGCATGTTTTTGTACTTCCATTTGGGTTTCTGCTGCTTCTTAAAATAGACCAACACTTACAAAAAAACAATCCAGCAGGTTTTTGGTAATAAGTTAGTGTGTTTTGAAAATTAGCTGTTTCAAACACTGCATCTTTAGTAACTAAGGTCATCTTTGACAAAATGTACCTCTCATTGAATTCAGCTTTAATGAGACATATCCTATTTTCCAGTTTCACCAGGTTATTTTACTGTACTCTGCTTTCTGAGCTACAGTATTCATCCATAGCCTTGTAAATATCCTTGAGTTAAAGTTTCCTGTGCTTTTCAGTGGTGTTTCTATTTGTAAAGATCTCTGTTTAGAGGCATCTATGAATAACCAAGTTTTAATTCATGCAGAAATCAAAGGAAATATGCTTTTGATAAAAATGAAACATCGATCTTTTTTCACTCGGTTGCTTTTTAAAACTGAAAATAAGCTGCAGATTAAATGGACAAAGTACCCTGAAGATGCAGTTTTAATTTAAAATCTAGAAATGAAGCTCCTTGATGAAAGTGCGACATTGAAATCCTGATAAAGCTTACATTACATTTGTCCCTCATTACAAAACCATGTTGATTATACAGTAGCTTGTTATAATGTAAAACTGAACCCAAATGCCAAATTCAGACTTTCTTCTACATTCAATGGCCTTCTGTTGCCCTCAAAAATTTCTTCATAAATGTAAATGTAGCTAAAAAAAAAACCCTAAATGTTTTTCATTCTTAAGTTAAATTAGTGCTTTGCAACCAATATTGAAAAGTCTGTCAGGCAATTATAATTTTTTGTGTTTGTTTTTCCTTCAACTAGCAAAAACAAACAAATCCCAGAGCAGTTTTTGACTGCTCTGGGATTCATCATTGGTTGCAGATGCCTCACCACTGAACTGTATGCTAAATGAAAGGTGATGCACTCCCTGGATGACTCTTATTTACAATGCTATTATTGGTTTGGTTCTTATTTATTAATGCATTTTTCTGAAAAGATGTTATCATGCCTTACAGTGAATAACATTTTGTATTTATCTGTTTCTCTGGTTCAAATGGAAACAGAAAAAAGTTTGAGTTTCTCTCTCTCCTTTTTCCTCCAATCTGAACTGAAAGTCAAAAATGACTTCAATACATATTAAGAATACCACAACAGAAATTTTTCAGCGTTTTAAATCATACATTTTTACTCATTCAAGTTGTTACTGTAATAACTTGTCAATTTTTTGTACCTTATTTATTTTTAATGTTTTGTTGTCTATTTGTCTTGTTCGTGTTGATGTTCTGCTTGATTGGTCTTTTATCTGGCTGAATGAATATTTAATAGTAGTAAAGTAAAAAAACATCTTTTTAAACAGAAAATTTTCCAACATCTCCAAATATTCAGAAATCTTTGGCAGGCAGATGAACATGAGCACTTCCTTTTGTTGTTTTTTTTTTGTCATTGTAAACCTCAATGAATACGTCATTAAAAATTTATCCTCACTCTGCCAGCATAATATCGTAATAATGACAGAATCTGTATCACCAGGTAAACAACATGAATGTACAATCTGTTCGCTGTGGGTTTTGTTTATTTGGCTTTAGCTTGTCTGTGACATGGGTATTATCTTTACACATTTTGTAAAACATCAGGCAGAAAACAAACAGTTTTCCTAATTTTGAGTGACAAATTTTACAGTCCTTGGAGTGGAGATAGTCCAGGTTTACAAATTTAATAGCCGTGTTATGAAAGAAAAAACAACTCAGAAAAAAAAACAGGAAAATATCTAAAAATTATATAAAATTTTAAGAATTACATTTTACTTTTAGCTGCTTTTCATTGGACCAACCTTTTTTTTTTCATACCTTTCAGGATGTACGAGTCACAGGTAATCTCTTTGTGTTTATCAGACATGAAGGAAAACATCCTCAGACCTCCCCTGCTGATTCCTCATTATAATCCTGCTGTTATTTGTGTCCATTTGCGTTGAACATGAAACCTGCGGATGTTTGTTTTACTCCATCAGGGGGCAGCAGAAACACACTCTGGAGTTAATTGGCTTGTTTGCACCTCCTTTAAATCTGAAGAAACATGTGGATGTACATCGTCTGTCAGCCAATTTGATGTATTCATTTCTTTGTTCGCCTCTCTGCTTTAAGCTTCACTGAACCCTGAATGAACTTTTCACGCTGTTTGGCATACAAATGATTTTACGCAATGTTTTTAGACCTTGATGGGTTTATCAGGGTATAAACCTGCAACCTGGATGATTAGCCGAAGTTGCAGAGTTGAAATCCTTTCACAGGCAATACAGATGTGTCTTTTTCACTAACGTGAATACTGCTGCTGTCATTTTTGGCTGAAGTAATTTATGTACTAAAGCTGGTACTGTTTCATGCTTTAATTGCTGCTATTTGCAATTAACTCACTGGTGAGGCTTAACATTATGACCTCCCTGCCTCATAGTGCTGCCACAACATGTCTTATCTGGGGAGGAAGAACAGAAATAGAAAACAATAGAAGAATGTTTTCTTCTACTGCTCAAATGCTCACTGTTGTTGCTTTAGAAACACATTGTGTTTCCAAATGCTTGGTCATTTTTACTGTATTTGATGAACTGAATATGCCTCTACTGAGAAAAGATAAGAAAAAGACCAGTCTCCTCACTGATTTCATTTGAGTTTTGCTTTTTTTTTTGTCACATTAAGATATTTCACATCAACAAAAACCCTAAGAATTTCAATATCAAATTAGAATACAAATTGCAGATTTCAAATGGTTTAATTTACTATGCCAAAAAATAACCAATCTAGCCCTATGTAAAAATTGACCATGTGTTTAAACATCAAACATAACAATCTCTTAAATAGAACCTAATCGCCAACACAAAGTAGGCTAAAATATCTCAAAAAGCAAAACACAATGTGCCCCAGAATGAAGACATTAAAAATTAGATATACATCTTGAGAGGAAGCCATTAACCCAGAGCGGTAAAGATTCCAATTAATGACTGGCCAACTGAAAATGTTTTAATTATTCTAGAAGACCACAAAGAACCTATAGAAATATCTAATTAGAACACAAAATCCAGTCTTTGACTAGGTCATAAATTTTGACACAGTGCTATGACCTTAAAGAGAATGCTAATGCTTAAAACTAGATAGTCTGGGTGAAATAATTCTACAAAGAATGGTGAGCCAAAATTCATCCAGAGTAGACCAGAAATCACAAACACTTCATAGCCACTGTTGTCACCAGGGAGTGATTATTTTCAGGGGGGCATTACTTTTTCCTCACAGGAGCACAATAGTTTAGGAAGGTGCTTTTGTTTAAAATAAAAATTAAATGATTCTGTTTGATATATTAAAATTTGTTTGAGCAGAGAAATGTTAAGCGTGAAGAAAAACAGAATAAAATAGCTTTCAGTGCAACATGAAAGTCTTCAGCCACACGGTTATCGACTTCACATCTTTCTCCCTGACAAATTATCGATCTGCCCACCTTTTCTTAAGTCCTTCACTCCCGAAACAACACCGGCCAACCTCCCCGCTGTTCTTCCCTTCCTCTGACTCTGGTATTTCCCACAAAAAGCCCCCCGCCTTTCCTCCTCCTCCTGCCAGCCTCCCTGTCATCCCCCTCCTCCTTCCCCTTCCCTCTCCTCAGATGGATTCTTCAGTCAGTCGTGTGGAACCAGAGCGGCTGCCGGAGAGACAGACGCAGAGAGAGGCTGCTCAGAGCAGACGCCGGGTCAGAGCGCTCAGTTTGCTTCAGACAATCACAGGGCAGAGAGACGAGTGCACAGGAAAAAGAGGTAGAACACCACAGAGAGATAGGCTGGAGAGAGGGAGAGAGAGACAAGAGGGAGGTAAATATGTGACAGGATGTGGTTTCCCTGAGCTTGCACAACATACTTTGAGCATGACCTAAACGCACCGAGTGTACAAGTGTGTTTGAGCTCCGTTAGGTGCTGAAGAGGGGGGGAAACGAAGCCAACCGCTGGAGCTGTTGTTTCTGCTTGTTTCTCAGACGGAGGATTGTGTTTTCCCTTCAGAGAGCCCGCTCCTTCACAACCTCCGTCAGCTTGTTGGACAGCACTCTGAAGCAGTGTTCTTGTCTTTCACACCTCTAAAGTAGAATGAGATATTTTGACGGGAGCTCTGGATTTGTCTCCAAGCAGTGAACTTCTCAACCAGATAGTGAAACAGGTAAGTTTGCTTCTCGGTTCAGCGGTTCAGCGTGTGTGTGTCTTAACAGATGTTTTACTCTCTGCGCTCCCGCGTGATCCTCTGGATAGCAGCCACTGTAAACTTAAACCACATGGCTGTAAGTGTTTACTGTGCAACAGGGAGCTGATTCACACCACAATCCATGAGTGTGTCCGACACACAAGTTTAAATCCACAGCCACCGCATGCAAGATGTTTGATCGTCTCAGAGCAACATGCAAAAACAAACAGTCATCCTGAATATAAATAGATCTGGTTGATTAGAAGTGTGAGATTGGCCACAGATTAAACCCAGATACAGTTGCTGTCACTTGTGAGAAGAATCACAAGTTGGTTTCTGAACTGTTGTACTGTACAAACATATAGACAAATTAAATCCAACCTTACTATAGAAGCACCTGGCATACTCTTCATCACACTGAGGTCTGCTGACATTTGTTTCCTCATCTTTTTTCTGGTTCTATGTCAGGGGTTCGATCAGATATAACTTTGACTGGTTGATTGCGACATATTGTCTGTTTTCTTTTGCAGGAATTCTCTTGCAGGTTTTCTGCTGTGTTTGGTACCATTGTCCTGCTAATGACCCATTTTGGGTCTAGCTTCAGCTGTTAGACAGATGGTTTCTGCACATTTGTGGTACACGAAGGAGTTCATGGCTGGGTAAATAAACGCTGTGGCTGCGGAACAAGCACAGATCATCATACCATTGTGCTTTGCAGTTGGTATAAGGTATATGCGTGAATATGCTCATATTTTTTCCCCTCCAAACATATTTACTCGTATATCTTGTGACCAAATATTTTTATTTTGTTCTCATATGTCCAAAGGTTGCTGTTCCAGAGGTCTGACGGTTTGTTAGGGTGCACTAGTTATGTTTTCATAAGCTTTTTGGAGAGAAGCTGCTGTCTTCCGTTGACCCCTCCAAACTTATCTTTAATCCCATGAATGGTTTAACATTTAACATGCTAATTAAGGAGTTCATTAGCATGTTATTTTATCTGACTGGGTTTTGGAGCTGTTAGTTTTTTCAGGGTGTTGCATAATCTAACCTTGGCCTCATTTTGCTGAGATATCTACTCCTTGGAAGTCTGGCAGCTGTCTTAAATATTTCACAATTCTGAATGGCAATCTATAGCTGCAAAGAGTATAGCATAAAGTTTTGAAATAGATACATTAAGATTTGTTTTAATACAGAAAATTAAAGGAAGCTTTTTAGTTCATTCCTATTGTTTAAAGCAAATTTTTAGTACAATTTAATATTCTTATCAAGAGTAATATGTGACCCTTCATTATTTACCAAAAAATACAGAAATAAGTTGACATAATTTGCTCAAATAAAAAACTAAGTGTGGAATAAATACATATTCAGTTGCACTATTTGTGTCAGTAAGCTGTGAAACGTCAATGCAGATATTGCATTAAGGTTGACAGAAGAAATGCGAAAACAAAACTTTCTTATTTCCTCCTTTAAAAAAAAAAAAAAACAAACATCATTTTTTATGTGTTTTTAAAATCAGTTGAAGAGCCACAGATGTCTCCAGAGCCACAAGGAGGGAATCTCTGCTGTTGAATGAAGGATTTCAGATCCTTCAATGGCACCTTCTCAGATTGATGGGCAGCAACACTTGCTTCTTTAAGGTGATTGGATTTGACTTGTCCTCACCTGCAATCAAGTGCAGTTGATCACCTGGCTTCCGCTTTCATTGTTACATTCTGTAGAAAAAGTTATGCCATAAGCTAATAACATTTTTGTGTGGTCCAGTGGTTAAGCCACTGTTGTGTCTTTGTGCACTGACAATAAAATAAGTCTAATAAGTCTAATCCCTGCCAGTTTATCCTTTTCTCCCTCTGAATGTTTACCTGGTTGCTCCATGTTCTCCGAGTGAGCATCCAGCTGGAGATTTAAAGGGAAAACAACTTGCATGGATTGAAGGAGGAGTCCAGGACTGTTGGGGGGTAGAGAGGAAGAGCCAGGGGGGGAGTGAACAAGAAAAATGACTGTGTGTTTGGGGTTGAAAGTGAGTGAGAGAGCTCAGTCTCAGTGAACTGCTGTTAATTGGTTCCAGCTGGCGAGATGTGGAGGACCAGCCGGCGATAACTCGACAGCGCAGGCGGGTCAGGAGTTTTCTTAGACACACACTCACGCACACGCTTTATACGAGTAATATGAAGTGCTGATTGTGTTTTATCAATCAGTGTTTTTCTTTTTGAGTAATTCATATCAGAAACACAAGATACAAAGTAAGAAATAGTAACAACATAAATTTATTTTATCTGACCTTATTAACCTGAACCCCATTTATAGGCCTAAATTAAAATCATTTGATTGTAATGCAGTTAAAAAAGTATTTTCTTTCTGAAAGGATAGATCTGTGTTTCCTAAAACTTTCTATGTTTCTTTTCTCAGCTTTGTAGAAAACAAAATCTGTTTCTTTGACCGTGTTATACATTTTATGTTTAATTTCATGATTAGAAGTTTCACTTTATTAATACTGCACACAGTACTGCATAACACTATCATGCACTTATGTGGAAACAGTTTAGCTTAAGGTTACTCTTTATAACATCTTAGTCAACGTTTAGCACACTTAGATTGAAACCAAAACCTCTCAGAAAGTTATTGCTTCATTTTCTTCCCCCAAACAAACTTATTCTCATTCCTTTAACATTCAGTAGTTGGTAGATCATCTAATTAAGATATTTAGCACTATCTGGACTTTTTACACTAAAGATCAAACATGAGTCACATCAGGTCTTTGGTACAAACGGTCCTGGAGGGAAACTAGAATATCTCTGTCTCTGACACCTCTGTCTCAAAGGGCGGGATGACCCAGAAGACTTTCTGACCAGATGCCCTAACCATCTGACTCAGCAGATCTGCTCCAGCCTTCCACAGATGACAGAATGCCTCCTCTGATCTCTTATGGTGGATCTAAAACTTTCAGTCATGATTAAATGCCACGACTGAGAAAACAGATAGACTAGTAAATGAAGTTGCTTCACATTTTGGCCCAGGTCTGCAAAGGCAACTCCAACCAATCTGTAAGCCTCCTGCTCCATTCTGACTTCTCTCATGAACAAGATGCACAGATACTTAAACTACTTGAGCCAGAGATCACAAAAGAGGATTAGTGCCACTGAAATTAATAAATTAAAGAGAATTTCAACTTTTCATCTCAGAATTATTACTTCTCAAAACTCAAACTTTTTTCTGAGTTCTGACCGCCGATCTCAGAAGATTAAAGTCAAAATTTTGAGGAAAACAAATATTTTTTTTCCTTTATTAGTGGCCCTAGACCTCCTCCACAAAAGACTCATCACCCACCACATCATATAGGTATAGTCCAGATCCATGGCCTCAGACTGATTGGTAATTAACTGTATTAAAACGCCATGATGTTCAACACAAATATAAATGTCACCATTTAGCAAAAGCTAATTCGCATTTGAGGTCCTTTGGCAAGTTACAAATGGGGGCTAACTTTAATCCCAGCCACTTTACATGATACCAAAAATTTCAAAAGTGTAAGAAATTCAGAAAAAAAATCCAGCAATGTGGGAGGAAATGCTGAGAGGCGTGGCCAAGTGTTGCACATTGCAAATACATCACACATCTGTAAGGCTGAGTAACAGCACTGATCAATCCTCCATGCGGCAATGCATTGTCCAGCCAGTCCAACTCCTGACTCACCATTGGGTGGAGGTGTGTGTCTGAGTGAGATGGCTTAATACCCGAATGCAGGGCTGTTTGATACAAAGCTGTACCACTTTAAAAAAATAGGAGAATTCAACCGTTAGACCAAAGCAGGCCAGCACTGAGATGGAGATGGTTTTAGACAAACTGAACAAATTCAACTCAAATTTGTATGGCGACATAAACATATAACCCTAAATAACCTATTTAGAAAGTGAGTCATACTTTAATTCCTGAGGTCACTTGAAGTCTACTTTTTCTACTGCTAACTCTTGAATCTAGACCTTAAAATCAAATCCAACTCATTATTCAGCAATTTGAAGCTATAAAAATAGGAAGAAATGTCATCCTCCCTCTGATGTATTCAGACAAAGCCATCAACACAACTTAATTGCAAGATAAACAAGAAATTAAACGTATCCAGTTTCATTATACTTATACAAAAACACTAATGTAGAATAAATGTAAACACAGACGGTATATACATGTGTTCAGATTATAATCAGTTGTTTATAGGAGAATACATTTACTGCAGAATACATTTACACGTTCTGACCAGCACACATAAATGCTGCAGATATACATGACCTTTTACGCAGCTGCACATGTTCACAGACGCATTGTAAAGACATGCACATACATGCACGTGTACAGAAGAGGCTTTAGAAACCATTTACACCAGAGAAGCCTGCCCCACCGGAGCATGGCTTCTGTAAACGGGGAAGTGGTTGTGGTTTCTACACTGGTACGATGTCAAACCAAAATGGGAGCCATTAGTCAAGGCAGAAAGTTCAAACGAGGACTAATGTAGAGATTTAATAACCCAAACTGCAAGGGAACATATGGCTTCACTTGGGAAGGGAAGGAAATTATATGATAGTTATATTTTTGCTTAATGAAGCTGATTTGTAGGTCTTAAATTACGATCAGTATTTTCCTTTTCTAAACATTTATTTCTGTTCTGTCGGATTAAATGCAATGCTACATTATACATTTATTTAATTGATTTTTATGTAAATTTAATACATGTGTCACTTTTACTAAGAATACTGAATGCCAAAGCTTCACATTATAGGAGGTGCACAGAACTGACCGAGTCCTTAACTCTTTATATTTCCTTTAAACCTAATTCTAGCTCGTAAATGTCATCTTGATAAGCTTTACTCATACTGACGAGAATAAGACAGACGATTGCAGCAGCTAATGAGCTCCTTCTAATGTTAGAGGAGGTGTTTTGTATGATTAGCTAATCCAGCTACTTTATTTGGCAGACATTTTTATTCATA